GTGTCACTTTTTCAAATGTGGTGACAACGGCTCAGAAAGTTGGTTACTGTTTGGTATAAGGTATGTCAATGCCCTTTGAGTTGCCAATGACAAATTATCTTAATAAGAAACTTGAGCAGAGAATTAGTATTGCAAGAAACTAAAATGTACAAAGGAAGATATGTATGTGAAATAACTTAGAAGGCCAGGTTAGGTCTAGGGGCTCAGATGCTGCTATGCCTCTAGGCTTGTCTCTTACATTGCTGATGGCTTTGTCATCTGGTACAGACACTTTAGGAGGAAATCATCTCTGATTTCAGAGTAAAGCACCTTGATTCCCAAGAGATAGAAACTGTCTGTTGTGAAACTCAAATAAATAGAGCTGGGAAGTTTCCAGTTACCTTGTTTAGGTCTTGGTATTTATTCATCCTACGACTGGGGTTGACAGGCCAGTGAGTGCCATCTGTGGGCTGTTATCAGGAAGGAAGGAAGCTGGGTAGCTGCGTTCTCTTCCTGTTTGATTTATATCCCCTGAAAACTGCTAGAAAGTCAGGTGTGAGTTGATTCTGACTTGATAGCGGTGAGCTTAGTTGAGCTGATTAGAAGAATGAACCAATCTCTCAAGTGTGGATAGTAAAATTTTGTCTCATGTACTTTGGTCATGTTTAGGTCATGTATTAGAGGGACCAGCCTTTGGAGAAAGACATCATGTTTGGTAGAGAGTCAGCGCAAAAGAGTAAGACTCAACAAGGTCTGTTGACACAGTGGCTACAGCAGTGGGTTCAGTCACATCTGTTTTAAGGATGGTGTAGAACATGGTAGGGTTTCATCCTGTTTGGCCTCTGTGAGTTGGAACCAACTCCGTGGAACCTAACAAAAGAAGACCATTATACTGATATTTTCTATTTGGTTTAATTTTATTAAAAACAAAACACTGGTTAATAAAACCATTTTTTCCCTTCATAACGGACTAATCGGTGGCAACCTAAAGTTTGAAAACTATGAATTAAGGCAGTGAAAAACAAGCACGTGATAAACACATAAAACTGAATGTAAACAATGGAACTTCCAGTTTCATTGATCCCTTGTTACCTGGCAGACTCTCAGCTGGGCATTTTATTGAATTAAGTTGCTGAATCCTTCCTTCCCTATCCTATCAGCCAGACAACCAAAGCTAAGGATATTTCTCAGGTTTAAGTTTCAATCTCTTTGGCTTCAGAGTCCATGCATTCTTCTCTGTATTTATAGAACAGCTTCTTCCTGCTCTTGTTCGTAGCACAGCACAGAAGAGCCATCCAGGTTCATTTCATCTGAATGAAAATCTGACTGCAGTTAGTAAATCCACTACAGAATTATGTTGGTGTTCATCATAGTGAAATTCATTGTCATCCAGTTGGAACTGACTCATAGCTAACCCTCCAGCAGGTTTTCAGAGATGGTAAATCGCACGGGTAGAGAGTACTCACCTTTCTTCCACACAGCAGCTGCTGGATTCCAGCTGCCTGCCTTTGAGTTGGCAGCATCAAAGGGCACATTCACAGGTGCCAGTCCCTAAGGGCTCTGTGTCTTGTGTGCTTCTTGAGAAAGGAATACTGAAGGCCTCATAGCTTCCTTAGCGGCACGCCACTCCATCCCCAACACCTAGCAACCACATGGCACCCGCTCTCCTTGTGCGTCCTCATTCTGCATTTAGATCAGGCTAAGAGTAGAAAGAAGGAAATGAGCCAGAAAATAGAATATTAATTCTTGGTAGAGTCGTCATATTTTAGAATTAATTTATAGGCAATGTCAGATAACTAGAGTTAAATCATTTTATCAGCAAGCTGCTCTAGGATTTAAAAATTGGCATCCATCATTGTAAATCAAGTCTCAGGAGCCCCAGGGAATGGTCTCTAGGGATGAGGGGTGATATGGGCTGGGCACAAATGTAAATACTTGGTTAGCTGTGTCCTTCTCTTTCCCACAGAATGAAAATATTTCTGCATCATTTTGTCGGCTAATGGTAGGCTAACTAGTGATGGAAAGGGAGAATCTATGGCAGTTTATGGTTAACCTGCTTTTAATACTTTTCTTCCTCCCTGTCAATCTGAGGAAACTGATGCATGAGAGACACTAATTTCAGCAGAATAGTCTCGGCTCATAGTTCTAGAAGTAGTCCCCACCTACTCCTTCAGAGACTCCATTAGTGTTGTTGGTGTTAATGGCCGCCTACTTGGTTCTGACTTATGCCAACCCTGTGTACAACAGAATGAAACCTTGCCTGGTCCCTCACCATCTTCATGATCATGGGCAGACTTGAGTCCATTTTTGTAGCCACTGTATATTTTGAGTACCTTCCAACCTTGGAGGCCCATCTTCCCATACTATTTCAGATAATATTACGTTGTGAACCTTAGCATTTTCACTGACTAATTTTCAGAAATAGATGGCCGTGCCTTTCTTCCTATTCTTGTCATCATCTAGAAGCTCCATGGAAATCTGTCCACCTTGGGTGACCCTTACTGATACTTGAAATATTGGTGGCATCACTTCCAGCTTCTCAAGTAGGATCCCCTTTACTCCAGTAGTTCAGATGTCGTCATTTTTGCCATGTTATTGTGAGCAGGAGTATCCGTGGACTTGGTACTAGGAAGTTAATAGTAAGAAGACTTTTGGGAACTCAACCTGCCTTTTTTATCTTTTCATTGCAGCTCTTTGTCAAGGGCGTGTAGTGAGAGTTCCTTCAGGAATCCTGGTCCGGGTGGTGGACACCGAGCTGGTCATTCCCTGCAACGTCAGCGACTATGATGGCCCCAGTGAGCAGAACTTTGATTGGAGTTTCTCCTCCTCGGGGAATGTCTATGTGGAGCTTGCGAGCACCTGGGAAGCGGGCTTTCCAGCCCAACTATACCGAGAGCGACTGCAGAGGGGAGAGATCCTGCTGAGACGGACAGCCAATGATGCTGTGGAGCTCCACATAAGGAATGTCCAGCCCTCAGATCAAGGCTACTACAAGTGCTCAACCCCTAGCACAGATGCCACCGTCCAGGGCAACTATGAAGACACGGTGCAGGTTACAGGTACAGTAGTTAATGGGTCGTTATGATGGGATTTCATCTACCACTTGATTGTGAATGACTCTGCTAAGGACATGAGCTCTGTTTGCTCATCTGTGTATCTAAGTAACAGTATCTTACTTGACTGAATGTGGAGAATGTGTCAGGTGGCCCCTGAGGGTCCTTTATTTACTCCATAGTCAGAATGTGATCTGAGTCATGCTGTGGCCTGTTAGTTGGAGTTAATGGATATGGTGATGGAGAGCCCTGCTCTGTAGCCAGCTTGTCTACCCTCAGTCAGTCAATTCTTAGCCTTTTCACTTGTCAGCTATGCTGTCATGGCCAAGTTACATAACCCCTCTATGCTTTGACTTCCTTTTCTGTAAAACAGTACCTACCTTAGAGGCAGTGAGCACTGAGCTAATTGTGTGTAAACTCTTATAGCATTGCCAACAAGATTAGTGACGAAAAGTTAACGATCATAATGATGATATTCACGTTTATGGGAAGAACATACTTCACAACTCCTGTCTGTCTTTGTGCCCTTTGTGATTTTAATGTCTGTTTTTGCCAGAAGTTATTATAGATCATGTGTAGAGAGAATGTGTGATCATTGCAAGCTTTTTATGGAACATAAAAGTGACTTGACTATGCAAATAATCACATTTCATGCGCCCCAGAAGATTAAGTGCTGGGCTACTAACGGAATGTTTGAAGGTTCAAATCTACTCAGAGGCACTTTGAAACAAAGGCTAGGTTATCTACTTTAGAAAGATGATGGTCATTAAAAATACTATGGAGAATAGTATTACCTTACACACATGGGGCCACCCTGAGTGAGTTGGAAATGACTTGACAGCTGGTTTGATTCGGGTTTTTCATGTATCTGGGGTGACCTTCCTTTTTTCATTTTCCATAGTTTTTTACATTTACTGCCACATTCAGTTCTCTGAACCCAGTGAAGGAGATAGGGTTGGTTATTGTCTTAATTTGTACATGAGGAAATGGAAGAGCATAGGTTAATTACTTGCCTAGAATCACACAGCAAATTAAAAAGCGAGCAGGAACAAATAATTCTAGTTTGGGGTTAACAAAATAGAAACATTATTATTGCTGCTGTATTAGAATTACATAATTATACATTTATTTATATACTATTTCCAAAGAGCATTTAAGCCAGAGTAAGAATGTATTTAAAGATCCCTAAAGAAAAAGATACCTATGTCGATAGAGGGAATGGCCTAACAAGTCATCCTTTTTGTAAGATAACTATATCATGTACTAGTTGTTGTGTTGTTGAGTACCATCGAGTTGGAACCGACTCCTAGCTGACCTTCCCTTCAGGTGTTCAGAGGCAGTTAATCGCACAGGAGGAGACTGCCTTTCCTCCTCCCACGGAGCAGCTGGTGGCCTTGAACTGCTTGCCTTCAGGATTGCAGTGTAGCTTCTTACCACTAGGCTACTATTAAAACATTAAATTTCTATTACTATTATTACTTATTTTTTACAAAAAATCCCTAATGTGTATATATGTATGTGTACATACATATTTAAGTCTCATTAAGAGATCTTCTAAAACAGATGTTGCATCTTTATTAGAGTCCCAGGGTACTGCTAACAGTTAAACATACTCAGCTTCTAATAAACCAAAAGGCTGGAGGTTTAAGGCCACTAGAAGCACCTTGAAAAAAAGCCTAGTGATCAATTCCGAAAACCAATCATTGGAAATGCTGTGCAGCACAGCTCTGCTCTGACACACATGGGATTGCCAGGTGTTGGAATCAACTTGATGACATCTGGTTGGTGTACATAACCAACAGGTCAGACTAACTCTTGTCCCTCCTCCTTACAACTCTCATTTTGAAGAGTCAGAAGACAGCAGGAAAATTTCTCTGAGTATGTGTTTGTTTCTTTCTTTGGAGGGCAGGAGCTAGCAGTGGCTCTCCTTGGGTGAAGAAAACAGATGTATGACTTAGACTGACCAGTGACTCAGGTGGCAGATCCAGGGAGGGCCTTGCATGTGTAGGGTACCCCTGGCCTTCAGCCTCACTGCTTTTGTAACTATTTATCTATGCCCTGAGGGATGAACTGGCTTTGGGAGCTGAGTCGCATTAGCCAGACTCACAACTTATGTGTATGCTGGGTTGTCAGCATGTTTATTTTACAATAGAGCTAATTCTATTTTCTCTCCCTTTTGTCTAGAGTCAACTTGAGCAGGAACACTGAGTTAGTTTCTGAGAGTAGAGTTGGGAGACATTCCAAAGAGATGACCCATAGAATAGCCTGATTTTCCATGCCCCTTGGGAGAGACCTCTCTTGTTGCCAGATTTCCGATACCCATTGCATATAACTTCTCTTCACAAACAGCACTCAGTTACTTCCATGCTCTTTAGCCCTCTTTCTCTACAGTCTACAGAAGCTCTGAGCCCTCTTCCAGTAGGTCTTAAGAGACTAACAAGCTCAGATTGCCGTTTTCTCTGGCATATTCCTGTCCACAGATACACTTTGGTCATCTGTCATTCTTGAGCATTTCTTGTGCCTCAAGCCAAAGGCAGCTCATGCCACCCTTTGTCCACTGCAGATCTTACTGGCTTAACTCACGATGCCTCATTTCCAGAATCTGTAGGGCCCCTCTCCGGGTCCTGTGTCCTACCTAACCAAAGGGGTGTTTCATTTTTATTTGCCAAACATTTTACAGTGATTTCTAAGTGCCAGACACTTTCCTCTATTATTAACTTGTTCACGCCCTAGCATCAACCCCATGAAGCTGGTCAGGTGTTATCCCATTCTTCGAGATGAGGAAACAAAGGCACGGAAGCATTAAAGAAACTTGTAAGGATGACAGGAGCATATCCCCAAGACAGATAACAGAGCTTTAACCAGCCAGTTCTAACCACTGGTAAACCAACTGCTGTGGAGGCGACTGACTCATGGTGACCCCATGAATTGTATTCCACAGGTTTTTCACTCACTAATTTTCCAGAAATAGATTGTGAGACCCTGCTTTCAAGGGGTCTCTGGTTGAACCTTTTGGTTTAGCCAGTGTGTTAACTGTTTGCATTTCATTTTCGTCGTCTTTGTTAAGGCAGAAAGTCAATTGCCATAATCTTTGAGTCACAGTGAGGAAACATGCTCACTCAGGCATTGTAACAGGCAAAGGCAGGAGAAACTTGCCTGTGGCCACAGCAGCAAGCACAGCTCAGGCAAGAAAGTTCTAGAAGTGGCCGGTATTGCTGCCTGGGGGTCCACTGGCGCCGACTGAAGCAGGTGTGTTTTCTGCCCACAGTGCTGGCCGACGCCCTGCACGTGAGCGCCAGCCCTCAGCCGTCCCCAGCCCTGAGCCTGCGGGAGGGCGAACCCTTTGAGCTGCGCTGCTCCGCATCCACCGCCTCGCAGCTGCACACGCACCTGTCTGTGCTGTGGGCTGTGCACCGTGGTGCTGCGGGCCGCAACATCCTCGCTCTGACCCACGAGAGTCGCTTCCGCCCGGGCCCCGGCTACGAGCAGCGCTGCCACAGCGGAGACGTGCGCCTGGACACCGTGGGCAGCGACGTCTACCGCCTCTCCGTGTCCCGCGCCCTGTCCGCTGACCAGGGCTTGTACAAGTGTGTCGTCAGTGAGTGGATCGGAGAGCAGGGGACCTGGCAAGAAATTCAAGAAAAGACGGTGGATGTCGCCACTGTGGTGATCCAGCCAACAGGTAGGTGTCTGGGGAGTATATTTTATGCTATTTTTTTTCCTAGGCCATAATAAAATCCTCATCCTTTCAGGATAAGAGCTATTTCTGATCCTCATGTGAAGTTTGCCGGTTGGAGGTTGAGGGAGAAATGTGGTATTGGGTAGTATAGCAAAGAGTGCCTGTCAGTGTTTTGGATTAAGTGTTTATAGTTTTGCTTTCCAGCTGTGCTTTATCTAAATTCCATGGAAGCTGTGTTATACTTAGACAGTTCTTTTGTTAAAAGACTTAAGTATCAGTATCAGGATAACTAGTAAGATGTGTATAACAGGCCAGAAAGGGAAAGGAAGCGGGGGGAGGGGGGGCTGAAGGGGGAGGGAAGTGTGTGTGTGTGTTTAGGGGAATCACTAAAATAACAGCGTCGGGAGGGAGGGGGTCAAGAAATTAGGGATCAGGAATCAGATCAAGGAAGACCTGAAAAGACAGGGTAATAGTAGACATACATCAATGATAATTCTTTTTATAAAATGCAGTGTATATGAATGATCATATCACACATGATGTGAATGAAGGAATGTGTGAAAGTCAGTGTACCTGAATGAAACACAGTGTATATAAATTTTATGTGCACATCAATATAAAATTTTAAAAGATTCTTTTTTTAAAAAAAAAAAAAGTTGGATCATAGTCTTTTGGATGGGATGGGTCAGGCCTAGTGGTCATTGAGGATTTGGGTGAAGCTGCCTATATAGTGTGCCCACTTGGCTTAGCTTTGTCTGAGATTTCCTGAATCATAGACTCTTCCCATCCCAACAGCTGTTGAAGCTATGTGCCTAGCTCACTGCCAAACCTCTGGTGTTAACATGCCTGCCTTTCAGGTCCTCCCCATGCACCTTCTCCTGCTAGGCGAGGGCTTCTTCAGGACTGGGCTGCTTCTTGCTTTCTTGTGGGATATGTCCCTCAGGAATGTCCATCTCTAGTTTGATACCCAGGAAGCCTTTCCATTTGTCATTTGTAAATTAAACTTTTTTTCCTTATAAATCATCCTATTCAAATTATAGAGGAGCTCTGGTGGCTTAGGAGTAGGGAGTTGCATCGCCAACCTAAAGACACATGGTTAGAATCCACAAATTACACGAAGGGTGAAAGATGAGCGCTCTCCTCTTGTGTGATTTATTGCATCTGAAAACTCACTGGAGGGTTTGCTGTGAGTAATGACTCAGTAGCACAACAACATTGAAATTATAGAAACAGTTAAGAAAACGCAAAATGCATTTTTGAAACCTATAAAAAAAATAAGAAAGAAAAGTATTGACTCACTGTCCAGCAAGTATCAGTGGAGAGCCTACTGTGTGCACTTTGCGCTGGGCTCTGGGGTCAGTGGTGTAAAGGCTCTTTCCCAAGCTGTAGGAGCTTACCACCTTGACAGAGACAGCCCACAGCTACCATTGAAGGGTAATGGGATTGCAAGAGTGAAGGGATGTACCTGGTTTCATGGGAATTTAACATCTTCAGACTGAGTAGTACATTGCAGCTTCATCTTGATTTTTAAACTGAGAAGACCTTGACTGGCCTCATTTCCTGAGCATAAATGTGAGTGTGTGCTCAGATTAAAAGTAGAGCAGGGAGCAATACACATGAGAAATTGTTCACCTCAGCGAGCTGCCTCCCAAACTCCAGTGGTATTCTGCCCTGAGTTCTTTACTCTTTATTTATCCCACCACACAGGAGCTAGGTTGGTTCACAGTGAGTAGCAAAAAGCTGAGCAGAGGTTCCTGGGTGACTGTGGCCCTATGTGGGAGTTGTGTTTGTCAAGGAGGGAGCTGGCTTCTCACAGCCAGTAATGGTTCCAGTGGCTCCAGAAGTCACTTTCCAGATCAACTCAGGTCACCTTTGTCACAGATGATCTCCTTGGAGTCTGCCCTCAGAAACTTCCAGACAGTCAAGTTTCATTAAAAGATTGTTTCAATAGGGTAAAAGAATGAAGAATTACGTGTTTTAGGTTAGCATCAAGTTACCTTTTTCTGTAGGAATTTCTATCATAAAGATTTTCTTTTAAATAAGCCATGAAACCCAGCTTATCTAGTTATAAGATTTGAATGCTCTTAAACCTATTAGGCAGGTTATTCTATCTGGCTCTCGCCCAAGACTGGAGATTGAAATGTGTGTGTGTGCACGTGCATGCACGCGCACCACAGTCCTTCTCAGAATTAATGTGCTTTAAGGAATAAAATACAACCCATAGGATGACAAAGGAAGTAATTACATTTAAATAGTTATCAAAATATTTTCAGAGCAGATGCGTTTTGTAGTAGTACTTGTACTTCCTTAATGATAGTATGTTAAACAATAAGATCTAATGGTGAGTCTAACAGCATCTGTAATTTTTAATAGCAATGAATGTGATACTTCAAGTTATCTGCAACAAGTCTAATGGGATAGGGAAATATTTGTATTCCTTTGAGGGCAGAGTTCCAGGAACAGATAATACTATTCTGGATTGTTATTTACTTTTATAATGGAAGAAGATGCTAAATTTTGTGTTTACAAGAACTCAACACACCCTCAAACTCATTGCCATTAAGTCAGAGACGACTCATAGCTGACAGTCCCGTGGGTGTTTAGAGTGTCCTGCAGAGCTACTGGTGGGTTTGAACTACCAGATAGACACCACCTTTGATTTTGCAGCACAGCCCCCTGTGGACTGCAGCAGAAGCTAGTAAAAATAAAGAAGGTAATTTTTTTTCCCCTACCCAAGTTAACAGATTCTCAGAATTCTGTTTGTACACTCCAGTTTACAGTAGAATGACTTCTCTCTCTTCTTGCCAATACCTGCTCTATGTGTAGTAGCTGGTTTCTTAAATAGTATCACTTTATTATAGTAAATGGCACAAGGCTACTTAAAAAACACACCTGTGACAGGAGCGGTCTGGTTTATGTGTCTAATTTGGTGTCTGATTTGCAGATTCAGTACATCCATAGAAGGCAGGCCACCAGAAGCTTTGTGTGATGGCCACACCCCCAACCTTGCATAGCAATTCCTTAGGACTGGTTTATTTTTTCTATTCCTCTTGCTCCCAGTAACTTTTCTTCTCTCAGCAATGATCCTTTCTCTCTAACTCATTATAGTAGCAGAAGGAGAAGTTGGCCATGTGGGGAATGTAGTTAGTAATGTGACAAGATACTGAACCACTAGCCCAGAGAAAAATTAGAGAATCAGCTGTACAGTTGAAGAAACATTCCTGACTATTTCTCAGCAGTCCCCTACCCCCAGCAAAACAAACACAAAAAACTCCTAAAGCTCAGTGCCATCAAGACGGTTCAGACTCATAGTGGACCTCCACTGGGTTTCCGGGGCTGTAAATGCAATGAGACGGCCCATATTTTTCCTGAAGCTCTTCTGGTAGATTCAAACTACCAGAGATGTGCAGCCTGTGGGTTAGCAGCACAGCTTGCGATGGACTGTGCTCCCAGAGCTCCCAACAGTAGTTCTGTTGTTGTTGTGTTGATTGCCTTCGAGTCGAGCATGACTCATAGCGACCCTAAGAACAAAAGGCCTGAAGCCTTTTGATTTATCAAAAGCCTATCATGATTTATCAAAGTTCATCGAGTTTCTGGAGGCATGTTGTTTAGGAAGTGGATGCCACTCCTGCCTGTACCTTAGAATTGTTTTCTTTATGCGTCCTTCTAGAGAGCTATGGTGGCTTAGTGGTAAGGAGTTGCACTACCACCTCAAAGAAATGCAGTTCGAATCTGCGACATGCTCCGCAGCAGAAAGATGGGAAGTTCCCTCCCATGCAATTAACAGACTCTGAAAATCTGCTGGAGGGTCAGCTGTGGGCAGTTTCTACTAGAGGATACACAACAGCAACATACATACATATAGTTCACAGCGGTGTTGACTACCTCTTCACTTAGCAGAGTCCTTCCTGAACCTTCTTTCACCTCTAGTTGATTGATTGATGCCTCACCAGAAAGGATATTTATAAAATTCTTACCTTATGTGTAGCAGACTCTGGCCAGTGTAGCTTAAGTGTAGCCACCACCTCAGTGAAGGATTTTTTGTTACTATAATACTGGGTTTCAGTGGAAATTCCACACTAAAACAGACTAGGAAGAAGAGCCTTGTGATGGACTGATGAAAATCAGCCAGGGTAAACCCTGAGGAACACAGTAGTTCAATCTGGTTAAGATGTCACGAACCAGGGCTAAATCTAATCTGATTGACTTGTCTCAGAGCCAGCAGAGATTGGCTCAGGCAGAGTGGTCCAGGGTCTCTGATCAAGAGTGATGTGTTTTCTTGCTTTGGTGAGTAGCTATTGGGGTCTTATAAGCTTGTAAGCACCCACTATTGATCTGTCTGGAACAAAGAAGAGAGTAGTTATTGTTATAGTCTTTGTGTACCATCATCTAGTCAGAACCAATCGATGGCTGACCCTCCAGCAGGTTTGCAGAGGCAGTTTAATCACACGGGAGGAGATTGTCATCTTTCTCTCACAGAGCAGCTGGTGGATTTGAACTGCCACCAGAGCTCCCTAAAGAAAAGGGTAGAAAAGCAAAAGGGTATGGACACAGTAAGTTCCAAGTACTAATGGACCATGTGGACTTCACATTCCATCCTCCTAAGACCGGAATCTCTTTAATTCTTTGGTGAGGTCCCTGACAGCAGATTTTCCTAGTGAAACACAAAGACCCTCCACAAGATGGATTGACACAGTGACAGTAGCCGTGGGCTTGAGCGTATCCGAGGTCTCAAGGACATTGGAGGTAGGGCAAGGTTGACAGCACTTGTTAATAAGCTCACAGAGTTGTAGTCAACTCGATGGCACCTAACAGCAACAAAACCCAGAAAAATTAGGTGATGCCTAGCTAACATCACTGACTATCCTATATAAAATTGTAGTAGAATGCTTTGAAGTAGGGAAAATGTGGAGCAGATTTTAAAAAAACAAAACATCAAAATGACCAGACTTACTGGTGTGATGGATCTCACGTTTCCCTTAGTCGTCCTTTGAATCTAGAACCAAACCAAGCCCCATAGCTCAACTAGCAGCAAAAATGTTATATTGTTGTATGTACCACTGAGTTAGAATCAACTAATAGCTGGCTCTACTGCAGGTTTTCAGAGGCAGTAAATTATATGACAGCAGATTGTCCGTGTTTCTCACAAAGAACAACTGGTGGATTCAAACTGGGTGCCTATGGGTTGACAGGACAACTCTTTACCACTAAACCACCAGAGCTCCCTACAAGTGGAAAATAGAAATGTCTATAAGGTGAACGAACAGGAAGTTCTGATGATCTAGGTTGTAGCAAGTTGTGCTAACCCGAAGGCTGTGGCTCTCTGGCATCTGCAATTGTGCAGGAGAAAAAGGCATCCTCTCCTCCCACTGAGCTTTACAGCTTCAGAAAGCTGATGGAGGGTCACTGTGAATTGGAACCTACTTGATGGCAAACTCAAACTTGAGTTTGAGTTTTGATAAAGTGAACAGTAGCATTAGGGAAGCACTCAACCCTAGCAAAATCAAACACATAAAATCAAAAGAGTAGCACATGCACCAGGACAAAGCTCAAAAGGCTTTGAGTAGGTTAGAGGCACTCATGGAAGCAGGGACCTCGAGGAGGAAGTGGAAGATTATGATTATTTTGTAGGTATTGTGATGTCATGGAATAGGATATATGTAAATGAATAGAAAGCTAATTTATTTACTTTGTGAACTTTCACCAAAAATAGAATAAAAGAAAAAAAAACAACCAAGTATTGTTTTTAAAACTGCAGAGTGTTAAGGAGAGGTGCACACTATCGAACCAGCTGAGGCAGGCATTTTGTACACTGAATTCTTTCAAAAGGTACCCTCACATCACTTTTGGCCCCTCCAAAGGAGTAAGGAAGAGACAATTTGGAGTGAGGGTGAGAAATTAGGTTTTTAATTCCTTTTTCTAATCAAGGGGGATTTTAAACTTGGCTAGAAATACCTGCTCAAAATACCAGGTTTAGAAAATATTCTTTTGAAACTAATTTACTCCAGAGGGCATGAGCTCTTGGTGCTGAGTCATTTCTGAACAAGGTACCAGCCTTTGTTGTCCAAGCTTGTTGGAGGCAACAGTGGATGCAGAATGGCTCTCACTAGAAGATCAAGATGTGCCTGCATGTGAGAACCCTGGGAAATGCTGGCTATTTATCAGCTAAGAACTTGTTCACAGAGCATTACCGCACAGCGGATGTCTTTCTGTTCTGGTTACAGATGTTCAAGCTTTTTGTTGTTTTCCTTTTTAAAAAAATCTCCTGTATCGTGCAAAATATTTTTATGTAAAAAGCTTTGGCATGAACATCTGCCAAGAGTCTGTGACATCTGATACTTAAATGTTGTGTCTAAAGATAGTCCTCTTTTAATTACCTACATTAATGAAAGAGGGCAGTAGTATGGGTAATCCCCAAATCATTGTGTTTTGGTTTTAGAATATATGTTTTGTATCTGTTCTTAAGGTGGGTATGCCTAATAGAATAAAGAATGGTCAGAGTACATTGTATTTTTAAGACTTGACTCATGAGAATACTGTTTGAGTTACATTGAAGGTCCTTGTGTTTAGGTTTTTGTTTTTCTCTTTGCCCAGGAGACGGTGTAACAGTTTAACTCTGTCTTCTAACTCTTAATGCGTTCTGGTGGCGTAGTGTATATGTGGTGTGCTGCGAGCTGAAAGGTCAGCGGTTTGATTCCACCAGCTTCGATGTGGAGACAGATGGACGATCTCTTTCTGTAAAGATTTATAGCCTTGGACACCTAATGAAGGGCCATTGCGAGTACAAATTGGCACAGCAACAGTGGGTTTGTTTTTTGGGTTTCCTGTCCTGCCTCCATCTCTCCAGTGATAGTAGTTACCAGTTAGAAGTGAGCTATGCTTTCTCTATAAAGCTACCCAAGCCAGATCATGCATTTGTAGGAAATATCATTTTAATTTTACCATGCTCAACAAGTTTCTTATCAAGGGATAGTGTAGCAGTTTAGAACAGAGTCCCTGTAACAAGTAAGTTGTTTGAAGCCCCTTCTGCCACACTTTATCTGTATTACTATGAAGGAGTTACTGCACTTCTCTGTGCTCAGTTTCTTCACCATCAAAGTGATAATAAGAGAAGTATCTGCCTGTTACAGTGTCTAATGTGTAGTAACTACTATGTATGTGGTTGTTACTATTTAATATTTAAATATTTTTATATCATTTTAGAATTTTTTTAGTGTGGTAAAAAATAGATAACAAAGTTTGCCATTTAGTCAATTTTAAGTTCAGTTCATTGGCATTAAGTGACACTCACAGTGATGTGCAACCATCACCACTATCTAGTTCCAAAACTTTTGCATCACCCTGGAATAGCAACTCTGTGACCATTAGGTGATAACTCCCCATCACTGTCTCTCAGCAATGCTGGTAACCATGAATCAACTTTCTCTCTGTCTGCTTGCTAATTCTAGGTATTTCATGTATGTGGAATAATTTTGTCTTGCTGTATATGACTTAGTTCCCTAGTATTTTTAAAGCTTATCCATGTTGGAGCATCTCTGTGTTTTCAATTTTTTTTCTTTCTTTTTGTGACTGAGTAATGTTCCATTGTGTGTATATGCCACATTTTGTTTATCCAGCCATCTAGGGAACCCTGGATGGCACTGTGGGGTAACCCACCATTTACTTTACTGGAGGAGGATGAAGCAATCTGTTATCATAAAGCCTAGGAGCTTCATAAACCCTATGGGGTAGTCTTCCCTGTCATTGGGAGCTCTTGTGGCCTAATGTTACAGAGCTGTACTGCCAACCTAAGGGCATGCAATTTGAATCTACCACCTGCTTCGTAAGAGAAAAATGAGCAGTCTCCTCCCGTGTGATTTACTGTCTCTGAAAACCTGCTGGAGGGTCAGTTAGTTATGGGTCCGTTTTGACCCAATACTACATTACAACAACAATGTAAGTCAGAACCAACTTGAGGGAACTTAGTAGAGTCATTTGTTAGTAGGTATATTCTATTGTGGAGGTGCTCTGGTGCCATAATTTGTACCAAGATGCACTGCTCACCCGAAAGTTGTGAGTCTGGTGGTTCTAATCAAGCAGCAGCTTCTCAGGAGCAAAATGGGCAGTTCCCCATTCAAGATTTACAGCTTGGAACTCTGTTGAAGTATGTCTGTAAAGTAGAAGCCAATTTAACAGCGGTTTGAGTGTAAGGTTTTTTAATACATTGTTCTTAGAAATAAAAAAAAAGTGTGATGGTTCAGTAATTTATTCAATAAATATTTCTCAAGTGCTTCAACTGTTCAAACCCTTTTGACTTAATTCCATTCCATAAATTAGAACTTGGAAGTAGATGATATAAAGGGCGGGGTGCGGAAGGAGCAAGCATAATCCAGATTATCTAAATGCATTTGTGTTTTTTGCTTTTAAGTTCTAAGACTAACTGTGGCCAGGAACGTGTCTGTGGCTGAAGGAAAGGAACTGGACCTGTCTTGCAACATCACAACGGATCGAGTGGATGACGTCCGGCCCGAGGTGACGTGGTACTTCAGCAGGTTGCCCGACAGCAGCCTTCCTGGCTCCCACGTGTTGGCACACATGGACCGGGATTCCCTGGTGCACAGTTCTCCTCACGTTGCTTTGAGTCATGTGGATGCACGTTCTTACCATTTGCTGGTTCGAGACGTAAGCAAAGAAAATTCTGGCTACTATTTCTGCCATGTGGCACTCTGGACACCCAGGCACAACAGGAGCTGGCACAAGGTGGCTGAGACCATGTCTACCCCCACAGGTGTGGATGTGACCTGGTTAGGTGAGTGGTTTGCAGAAAGGCTCCTAGTCCCTCTTGCTAATCCCTCTCTGGAGTGTCTGGAGAGCCCCAGTTCTGTGTGTTTTTGCATGATTCTGGCATTCTTTTTATCAGCCTGGCATATTTTAGCTTGGATAGATCCCAAGCTAGGGATGGAGGCAAAATTGACTGAAATAGAGTCTGGCAGGCAAAGGAGATGTTTCGATAATGTGGCCTCAGTTGTCTCAATACCCTCATTTGAGAGGATATAGTTTCCTTTTGTTGTCAAGAGATTTACAGGGAGGGATCCCTGCTGAATGGCTCTGTGAAATGGATCTTTGTTGGAGGAAGAATGCTGCAATTCTTCCTTTCCTTTTCCTAGACTCCTAGGTGCTCTCTTGAAGGAGCTGGTGCTTTTCCAAAGCTCGACGCATAAGAATTCCTTCCATTAACTGAAAGCAGTTTTTCCACTGAATGCCCTAGAATCCAAAAAATGTCTCTATTTGCAATTACCAGCTAAATGTGGGCGCCTTCCTGCTTTTCTGAGGGTTCTCTTGCCCCAGGTACAAGTCCACAGTTCTGACTGCAAAGCAGCTCTGGAGTGCTGACCACCTTGCCATTTATAACTGTTTTAACATCTTACTCTCTGGGTGAAGGTCATTAATAATCACGTCCTGTTCATTTCTAACTTTTTTACCTTTCCCGCTTCTTTTTTGCCTAAATGTTTGCTCTGTGGACCTAAGTTACCCTGATTTTTCCTCATTTGGGTTACTGTCTTGTAATTGCAAGTAAATTTAGGAGGGCTGGGATTGAGTGCATTGATGCCTACTCCTGTTATTGCAAAGCTGAGGACAGGCGTGCCAGTAAGCTTTCCTCCTAATGTTGACTGTTCTTGATCTACCAGGAGTGTTTTGAGCGTATTTTGAGCATGTTTTGAGCAATAAAGCATTTAGCATTGTTGTGGTTGTAGTTTACTGCTTTCAAGTCAGCCCCAGGCTCATGGTAGCCTCATGCACAGCAGAAGGAAACACTTCCTGATCATATGCCATCCTCACAATCAGTTGCATATTAGCTTGTTGCACTCCTCTTGGTTTCCATAAGTAGATATCAGGCCTTTCAGACTATGCTGCCTTAGTCTAGAAACTCTGCTAAAATGCCCTCAACATCATAGCAACAGTCAAACCACTAAGAGAGCATTATATTGCCTGGAAACTAAACCTGGGTCCCCACATGGAAGGTGGAATTCTGCCACTCAGCCACCATTTCCTTTTATTGTAATTATTAGGAGGAAAAGCAGATCTTGAGGAGACCTGGTGGTGCAGTGATTAAGCACTGATCTTTTAATAGAAAGGTGGTTGGTTTGAATCACTCACTCCTTGGGAAAGATGTAGCAGTTTGCTCTGGAAATGGTATGGTTTTGTAATCTGTGAAGTAGTTCGTTCTTTCATATGAATCTGAGTTGACCTGACAACACAAAGCAACAATAAAATTTGAGTTTTACAGGCTAAGAAGTCATTTAATCCTTTGTCTGATGCTAAACAGCCTTTAGCCTTGACCTCCAACTACTACTTAGCTCATTTGTATCTCCACCTCACATGCTTCTCTTAAATTAGGGGCATTTTCACTGTGTTTATTTTCAATAAGCTTGTAGCATTTGGCAAGGATAGGGAGTTGACAGGTGGGAAGAGAGGTGTCAGGGAGGGGAGCATTGGGTGAAAGCAGGAAGTACAATCCAGTACTTACTGAGACTAGACAAGGTGCTAGTTAAGGAGTTCAGGTAGAACAGTGGTTATGCGCTTGGCCTCTAACTAAAAAGTCAGTGGCTCTAACTCACCAGCCACTCCATGAAAGAAAGATGTGAAACTCTGCTTCCCTAAAGATTTCAGCCTTGGGATCCATCTGGGGAACTTCTGCCCTGTCCTGTAAGGTTATGATGAGTCAGAATCTACTGGATGCCAACATTAGTTTTCCTGTGAGCAAGGTGATACTTGAATACCTGAAAAGTGAAAAGGACGTGGTTTATCTGGGGAGCTTTTCTTCCTGTTGTCTGAACTCTGCAAGAGATTCAGTATGAAGTACTGAACTGGAACAGTGTTGGCCCAGCTAGAACTCTCCTTAGCAACTATCAAAATAAAACAGATGTTGTCAGCACCAGAAGAGTTTTCCTCTCTGGGGCTGAATTTGTTGTGCAGCTCTGATCTTCTGTGCGTTCTGTGGGGCTGTCACTTCTCAGAGCAGACCCATCCACCCCTCCCCCCACAGCCTCTGAGTCTGAGCTGGAACCTTTTTTTTTTAAAGTGCTGCCTGCACTCCAATTTGAGGGCCTCTTTGAAGTAGTAATGCATTGATCCTGGCATACCCAGGAGGGAGACTCAGTCCCTGTCAGAAAACAGAAGAGGTGCTCCTGAGAGGGAATGGGCTCTTTTTAACTGGAAGGGATTTGTTGGTGACTGTATTCTCCAGAGAGTAAAAAGAAATAAAGAGATGAAATTATGGGAAAGCTTCAGTTATTATCCCAAGGATCATGTCATTTGTTTCTCCAGTAAAGTAAAAACCATTGTGTGCAAGTCATCACTTGCTGTTCCCTGACAGATGTTAAAGCATGTATAACCCATACCTTGCACAGCATTTTGCATATAATAGGCACTCAATAAATACTGTTGAATAGATGAATAAGTCAATACCAGGCATGGATTGTGTTAAAATACGAGCAAAGGAAAACTGGGCTTGCAAAGAAAGCAATCCTCTTCTGCTCTTAGATTATTCACAGATAGTCTCACATGCTCAAACCTACTGGGAGTAGAAGTGGCATTTAAAAAAAAACCCCAAAAACAAAAACCACAAAACCCACTTAATTCTTCTGTTTTCTTCCTCTTTTCTTAAACCTTCTCCTCCTTCGCTGGGCTTATGACTCACCATCACTGCTGCTTAGACAATTGTCAGGAGGCAAGTTGGGCATGAGCACAGGAGCACATCTTTCTGTGAACCTCCCTACATGCAGCCCAGAAACTTCTGTGAGCTTCACTTGGGGTAGAACCTCTTTAAGTGGCCCAAACTGACAAGGGGACAGGTGCCAAATATTCTTTATTTATAGAGGGCTTTATTTCGTTTGAGTGTGGAATTTTGTGACAGAAAAATTCTTTAAAATGCAGATTCATCCGTAAGATATTACACAAAACTCAATTTTGCCACTTTATAGATTAAGAATAATAATCACCATTTATGGAGTACTTAGTATGTGCCAAGCACTAGGCTAAAGGCTTTACATACATTATCTCTTTTAATCCCCACAAGAAACTTGAGCAACAGGTCCTGTTACTATCCCCACCTAAAAACAGCTCTCGCAGAATTACGGAAAGACTCAACAGGGCTTCATCTCTTCGCTGCTCAGGGACAGGAAGAGTGGGTGGGCTGGGGATTCACATCAAGGTGGCTTCCTCACACAGGTGACTCTCTTCTGGGGCCTTATCCTTCAGGGTCATTCCACATGGCTGGGCTTCTCATAGCATGATCTTCATAGGATAATCACATTTCTTACATGGTGGCTGGCTTGTTTCCAAGATTCAGGAAATAGAAATTGCCAGGCTAGGCCACATAGTGGTGGAGTGGACTTGAGGGGGAGGGATTGCATAACAATGAAAAAATTTTTCTTTCTTTTCAAGGAGAAGAGTGAATTGGAGGGAAAGGGGTTTGTAGGGAGAAAAGTGCAACAATGAATGACTGGAAAACCTAAGTAAACTTTCATTAAAAGTAATTTTTTAAAAATCAATTAAAAAAACCATTCAAAGTAATAATAAAAAACAAAAGTCATGCCTAGAACCATCACAGGTCACATCCACTGTTTTATGTTGGTCAAAGCCATTACAGAAGGCACTCAAATTACAGGGAGTAGAAAAGTAGTCTTTCTGTCTTTTTAAAAAAAATTTTCTCGTATACTGTTTTCAATTTTATGACTCATTTCATCAACCGATTTATTCTATCTAGAGTTGACAAGTGCTGTAATGTCCACAGTATTAACGTACTGTATTCTTTTAGGCATCATTTAAATATTTTCAGTCTGCTTTGTATGAAAAGAATACAACTTTTACAATTTTTTTTTCTTTCCCTTCCATCCCTGGTAGCCATCAAAAATGTCTCTTAACACATGGCTGCAAAAGACGGCTATAGCGGAAAAAAATGTGTTCCTAAGCACAGTCGTCAATTTAAAAGTGTGCGGCAACGTGTTAATGGGAAAAAACGTTGCTGTTAAATACCATTGAGTTGTCTCCAACTCCCAGTGACTGTGAACACCATATCTAAACTTTGCTCTAGCCTGTGTTATTATCACAATCTCTAACATCCTTGATTCCATTGTTAGTCCATCTTGTTGAGGGTCTTCTTTTTCTCTGACTCTCCACCTGCCCGAGCACACTGTCTTTTTCCAGGATTGGCCCCTCCTGACAACGTACCTAAAGAGAATAAGATGATGTTTCCTTGCCTCTAAGAAGAACTCAGGTTGCACTTCCTCTAAAACAGACTTATTTATTCTTTTGACAGACAGATCATGGGATATTGAGTACTCTTCATCAACACCACAGTTCAGAGGCTTCAGTTCTTCTTCTTTCATCCATATTAACTAGGAAAATAGAAACTCTGATCCATTGCTGTTGAGTCAGAACCATCTCCTAGCTGATCCTCTAGCAGGTTTACAGAGGCTATAAATTACACAGGAGGAAATTCCCTGTCTTTCTTCTGCAGAGCAGCTGATAGATTGGAACCACCTGCCTTTGGTCACTAGGCCACCAGAGAATGGCCTAGTGGTCAAGGGCTGGTGGAGTTGAACCTCTCCCTCTCTATATCTGGAAAATGTACAGAGGCCGTATTACTGAAAGGCATGTGGGGTGAAAAGTATTACTGTGGCCGACACTGGAAAATAGGATGCTGGTTTATTTCATTTTATGAGAGATAATTAATTTGACTTAAAACTATAGCCCATGGTTATTTGCCCCACATTGAAGGAAAAATATGGTAAATGAAGGAAGAAT